CCATCTTGTTTATAAATCTTTGTTTTCATTTAAATGTGGTTGTTTATAATTGGCTAATGATCACAGCCAATCTCTTTTTAATGGTAAAAAGGGGAATTATGGTATGGGTATTGTTTTTCATTTATTGATACAAATTCAAGGTCAATTTTGTGATGCATATATTTCTCCTCTTAATTAAGTATTGTGCTTATGCTGTTCTTTTAAAACATAATGCATGATTAAATACAGACTATAGATAGTTATAATAGTCAGAATTTATAATTAGGTAAGTTAGGTTTTCTAGATATATAGAGATGTATTTGAGACAGATAGATAGATACACAGTCTTCAAACTTTTCAAAGACCTTCAGAAAATGGCATTTAAAATGGTTTAGGGTTTTTCTTGACAATGAGAAATGTCTGCTCCTGGCATCACCAATTATGTCTGAGAGGAAGATGGGCATCGAAGAAACTTGTTATGGAGTTTGGTTCCAACATGGCAAGATTAGCCATTTGGGCAAGAAACTGCTCTTGCCTGTACTGCTTGACTGTTGTTATATAATCTGGACATGCAGGACCCACAGGAAAGTGACTGATAAACTCAGTCTTACAGGGTTCCTGCTTCATAGAAGAGTCTACGAGACTTTCTGCAGGAAACAGAGAAATGACTGACAGAATGCCAATGCAGATGGATAGTTTTCAAATTTCCTGCTTTGCTGAGAAATCTTCTGGATACATTGTGGCCTATGGGCTGAAAATGGATGCCCCAATGTTACAGTGGAACTTTGGGTGACTGTCCAGGTAGCAAAATGTCTCTGTCAATCCTAGTGTTTATATATTATCCTTCTGTGGTCTTTGATGGAGTTGAAGACAGATAGTTATAGTTATAGTTTTCCTTAGTTATGATAAAAGATAGCCTACATATAGAACTTTGGACTCACAAGGATGGGATGGATGATATTTTCTTTAAATCTTGCTATAATTTTGTAGCTATATTCTTACTTGATGATAATCGTTCTGTTATATATAATTTGACTATGTTAAAGTTAAGGCCTTTCTTTTTGTTTAGACAGAAAAGAGGAGATGATGGGAGAAGTCCTGTGATTATGTCAATAAAGCACTGTTGGCCAATAGGGAATTTAGATAGGTGGGACTAGGAGGACTCTGGGTAGGAGAAACAAAAAAAGTCAAGATGTAACACCATGGGGGTAGGAAGTCCGGAAATTTCTCCGGTAAGAGAAATACTTAGATTAACAATTATGGGGTAATTACTTAAGTCAGAGCTAGCCAGTAAGAAACAAGCAAGGCCAACAGCTTCAGAATTAATATATCCTCCTGTGTGTTTATTTGGGACTCATGCAGCTCTGGAACCAGACTGGCGGGAAGGCTTCTCTCAAGGAAAAGGTTTCCCTTTACATATGGGAAGCTGAGGAATAAAAGCAAAGGCTTTATTAGCTGGAAGGAAGTGAGCTCAGGGAAAGTGTAAATTAGTGAGACAGTACCTCAACATAAAAGCTGCCTATTTTCATTCACAGTTTACAAATGACTGGCCATAAGGAACTCCATCATATCTAATGTGGGAAAATATAAAATTCTTGCTCTCATCTTTCAGTAAAATTTTGGTTTGGCCACTAAACAGAACATATCTTATTTGCAATCACAGTTTTTTTAAAAAGATATTAACTGTAAATTATTGTCCCTATTCCACAGAAAGTGATAGCTTGAAATAAAGTACAGTAATAAGAATATTACTTAATATTACTTCAGGAAATGATAATAATGATAATTGCTAGTTTTCTGATAAAGATCATCATAGCAAGAAGTTTCTAGCATATCTTTTGTATTTAGTACAATGATAGAACTGCTTTAAAATTTAAAGAAAATTTATTTTAAGTATCTGAGCCTTAAAAATCAAACATAAAAATCAGTTGCTTTATTATTTCTGTTATAAAAGACAGGACATATATCAAAGTGCAGCATTATAAGTCCTCCATAAGGGTTGCTACATAAGAGGTATTGTCCCCTAAGTTCACATCAAAACAATGGTTTCAGAATTTTAAGGTCATCTGAAGAGTAACAGATTTGATTTTAAATAACTGCAAATCTAAAACAGGTATAGACCATATTTGAAATGAAGCACCTATGTGTTGTGGACTTATGGGTACTTAGCCTTCAAATAACCCATTTTTTCCTGAGCTTTCTTTTTTTCCTTGCTTGAAGGAACTATTTTACTTTGTGTGTGTGTGTGTGTGTGTGTGTGTGTTATATATATATATATATATATATATATATATATTTAAATTTAAATTAGAAACAAGGTTGCTTCTCATGTCAATTCCAGGTCCCTCTCCATTTCCCTTCCCTCCTCCTGTGCCTCCCTACCAACCCTCCCAATATCCCCTCATTTCCCCAGGGAGAGTGAGGCCCTCCATGGGGGTGTCCATAGTTCATTTTGTATCTTTAAAATCACAGGGAAAAAAACATATTTGAATGGTCCTCTAATAGAATTTTTTGAATGATTCCTATCTTTAATAATAATCACTTCCTGGGCCAGGACAGAATATAAATCACTAAGACCACTAAGAAAATCAAACCCTGTGTGGCAGGATGGCACATGCCTGTAATCCCAGTAGCCAGAGGCTGCTGCAGGATTGTGAATATAAGATCAGGCTGTACTACATAGTTAGACCCTTTCTTAAATGCACAGACACACACACAAGCAATGGAGCATATCTGTAGATAGGTTTTTCTTGGACCACCAGTCCCCAAATTAAGACCTGGAAACATTATTAATAATGAAAGGTTGGCTTTAGCTTAGGCTTATCTACCTAGCATATAACTTAAATTAACTCTTTTCTATTAGTCTACATGTTGCCCAATGGCTTGAGGCGTTTACCTCTGCTCCCACCCATTCTGCTTCCTCTGCATCCAGCTAGCAACTCCCCTGCACCTAAATTCATCTCCTTGTCTCTCGTCCTGGAAATCCTGCCTAACTTCTTCCTTCCTACCTATTGGACATTCTGCTCTTTATTAAACCAATCATAAAATGCCTTGGCAAAGACACATCTTCACTGTGTGAAAACAGATTATTCCACAACACATTTCTTTATAAGCCGACACCTTAAAACTTCATTGTGGTATTTTTGCAAAAAAACTTTCAAAAATGGAGGCGCATTTATAATTCAATTAAGACTCTTTATGAGGAAAGTGAGAAAGAAAGAACCAAAGATTCAGTAAACACATAGTTTATAGCATATAGTATTTATGTTATTAAGTGAAAATGAGTGAATTTACAACATTTACAAAGATTCTTTCAAGGTACTATCAAACCAAACCCAGTGATTTTCTACCTGTAGGATGTATTAGTTAGGCTCTCTATAACAGTGATAATACATCATGGCCTAAAACAGTTTAAGGAGGAAAGGGGTTATTTGGTTTATGTATCCTGGGTCACAGTTCACTGAGGAAAGCCAATGCAGGAAGGCAAACGGGATAGGGACCTGGAGACAAAGTTTATACAAAAGGCCATGGGGATTGATATTTACTGGCTTGTTCTCCAAAGCTTGTTCAACCTAATTTTATTTACACCGAGGAACACTTGTGAAACAGTGGCACCATTCACAATGACGTGGCTCCTCCCACATCAATTGCTAAATTAAAATTTGGCTTGCTCACAGGTCAAAATATTGGGACATTTTCTCATTTGAAGGTTCTCTCTTCCTAAACAATTCTAGCTTGTGTCAAGTTGACATGAAACTTGACAGGACATAGGGCCTATATCTAAAACAGCTTGACTCAGAAGAATTTTCAAGAAAGAGATTGGAAAGAGCATGACAAATATACACAAGTACCCACGTAACAGAGCGAGTAGCTCATAGCTGACAAGGTACTTTGCACAGAGAAGCCTCAGCAAGCAGAAGATGATAGAGATGATCTTTGTTACTTTGTTTCTTACAGAATGTCTCCAAAGATTAACTTTATTCTCAGCTTCATTATTTGTGAAGCCACACAAAAGATAAAGCTTTTCTCTGACTGTTCACTAATTAGGTGAAAATATTAGCCGCAACATAAAATCGAGTCATAAGTGATAAGCAGTTACCTTAAACAACATTGTGATCCCCTGCAATGTTAATATAAGCAGCCAGCTGGCAGGGGATGATAAGGATGTAGTAATATTTTAATTGGCACTTGTTCTGCACAGGAACGTTAGAATGGTTACAATACCAACTACATGAATCAGTGACAATTATTCCATGTTAACAAAAACAAATTTCCTTTCGTTCAGTATTATGAAGATTAAAAAGTAAGGAAATTACAAAACCGCAATTAGAGGCACTTTATTTAAATACGTTAAAATGAATGTTTATTCTTTGGAAATATTGAAAAGCACCGCCTTATTTCTGTGGTGGCTGTACATAACATGATGTGGTTTGGAAAACAGAAGCACAACAAAAGAACCCTGTGAACTCAATACTCACTTCAGTCTAATAAGAAGAAAGTTAAATTATTAGATAGTTTTCATAGTACTGAAATTTGATTTCAGTTGCAACTTTAAACACTATTATTTTGTTTTTATTTTTTTTCATATAATTTTATCATGTATTACTGTCACCAAGCTCCTCCCAGGTCCTCCCGATTTTCCCATCTACCCAAATTTATGTTCTCTCTATCTCTAAAACTAAAGCAAAACAGACAAAAACAAAAATCAAAATATTTAACAGACCAATGATTTTTAAAAATGCCAAATAAAACCAACAAAATGTCTTGGTTTGTCTGTTCGGACTGTCTGAGGGGTGACGGTTTCCAAGAGAACCAAACTTTCCGTCTACTTCGTCACAGTCCGGTTCTCTGGGGCCGAATTTCCCAATTTGAGGCACCGGATTTTCTGCGTGGCCTCCACTGTTCCATATGGAACGTAAGCTCGCGGGGCCGCAGGGGGCTGGCACCGGTCATTCGGAACGGAGGGACCACGGTGAAGGAAGCCAGGAAGCCTCAAGGGAGGACCTGAGGCTCAGGACACCATGGAGCTGTACCTCAGTGCCTGCTCCAAGACTGCCAATGTGGCTGCCAAAAAAGCAGCCTCCAGCAGCGTGGCTGATGACAGTCAGCAATGTGGAGATGTGAGTGGAGTGGCCTCAGGCCAGTGGGGATGTCCTGGGCCTCAGGCCTGGGAGTAGCCATTGCGGGCCTCGGGTTGGGAGTAGGAATCTCCTCACCAGCTCCTCTCTGACCACCCAGGTTACCCTAGTCTAGCTGAAGAGAGGGGCCCTGTGAGGATGTGCCCTTTGATGTCTATCCTTATTGTGGGAGGAGATGGGCCAAAGCAAAGGACTTACGGAGAGAAAAGACAAATGATCTGATTATATTTCACAGGGGGCACACAAAACCTCAATTCCAGGGGTGGGAGCCGCTCAGCTACTGGATCTTCCTCTTGGGGTCAAGCTGCCTATGATCCCGGGAACTGATACTGTGTATTTTACTACGAATATCAGTGAAAAGGTAGGGCAACTTTATATAATCACATTGTCTTATATTACAATGCTGTATTCTGTTAGACAATACAGCAGAGTATATTAGGAGAATGTATACCAACAGTCAGACATCATACCACAGGTATTGTTGAGATTGTGGTTAAGCAATTTCATCCAATGTTGCTTTATAGAATCATGATCAAAAGGATTTAGATCTTCGGCCCTGTTTTAATTTATAATACAGAGCAGCATATTAAGATTTAATTATATGCTCTTTATATGCCTATGTATTAATTTTTCTTAGAAACATTTGATTAAAAGGCTATTTACTATTTGTTACTAATTGGTACTAGGGTTTTAATCAATTCTGACTGGGAATAAACTCTCATTGAAAGATATTTTTGTTTGTTTTTTTTTTTTCGTTTGAAACCACCACTCATGATTTTTGTCCAGTTTACCTCCAGACTTGGTTTACTCTTTTTTTTTTCTTCTTCCTAATTTGTTAATCTGAATCATTCTAGAGGATCACTTGTGAACTACATCATAGTTTTCATATTTCTTTATTGAATTGTATGATACAACCCACTTACCTTAAAATGCTTAGCTTTTTGTCCTATCCCTACCTCTTCCAGTTCTTGAATAAATAAATCTACATAAGGCTTATATTTCTGTTGAGTGGTTAGTTTAATATTGAGACACGAATTTGCTGTTGTTAAAAGTCAACATCTAAAAGAAGTTGACAGCCAAATGTTACCAAGAAAGACAACCAGTTCCTTCTTTGACATATTTCCTTCAGTGATGAGTACCTCTTATCTGGTCCTATTCACACTGAATTAGACTCTAAGCTACCAGGGGACTAGTGCTCTTTGGGAAGCTTTGATAGTCATTCAATCTACTTTTCTGATTGGGCCCTTTGAAAGGTTTTAAACTTGTAACTTTAAGAACTTAGTGACTTAACAAAAGGTTGTGTAATGCAAATGACGAGCTATTCTGATCCCCTGCTCCCTTAGACTTTACATTTTGTCCAGTACAAAGCATTGCTTCTGCCTTCTAATTCTTTTTAGAACCCTACTCCACCTGTTTCTCCCGTATTCAAGAAAGGAACTGAACTTGTAAAATGAACAAAGGTCTCAAACTGGCACCTCCAGGACCCTCTGGATTAGTGCACAATATTATGTGGTACTGCAAATTGAATTTGATGCCTACAAATAGAGCATACGCCCTCTACATCCCCCCACCCATACTCCAATATCATCACCTATTTTTCTGACTTGGCATTGTAATAGTAAGCATTAAAGCTGAAAAGATGCAAAAACAGCATTAGCACACTTTTACACATTCGTCTATCAGCTACCTTTTCTTTAGAAATACTTGCACAACCAAATTTCATTCTCCCTTTGAAAAATTAACTGAGAACTCACATCAAAACCTTACTACGATAATATCTCAATTGACAAAGATTAAATAATTTAGGTGTTTCTTTCACACTAAAATAAAGGGAATCATGATCCTATGCATTGGCTGTCTTTTCATTCTTTCCCATGATTATATTTATTATGTTATTTATATGGTAATCTTTATATTTATATAATAAAATTTAACATGTTAATTTTTATTGAGGTTTTGTTTGGTATTAATACATAGGACAAAAACACATTTTCTGTAAATATGCCTTAAAACTTGTATTTCAATATGTGGAATTATATAGCATAGGCATTGATTTTCTTTATGACCGTAACACTCAAAGAACATTGAATTTGTTAAAGGTCCCAAGACACTATCCTTAGTCCTTAGTATCTAAGTTCTACACTGTTTATATGCATTCTTCCCCTTAATCTTAGTAAAAGATTATTTTTCATTATTTTCTTCACTTTTAGATGATCAGAACATAATGATTAATATATATTTTTTTCTCTTGGGTATAGTGTCTTGGTCTAGGGAGGAAAGAAAAGACAGAATTGACTGTATTTTTTAAAAAACCAATGAAACATTATTCTCATCCTTTTCTTCCTCTCTGTATTTGTCTCTTGGTCAAAAGGTGAAGCACCAGGGAAAGAACTGATATAGTGAGACCAACTGGTTAAATTACTTCACTTGGGTGAGGGGAGGAAGGGAAACTTGCATGAGTAAATCCTACTGTTGCTTGCATATTCCCAGTTCAAATTTAAACTGCATGTTTGATTTTTTCAGTCATGTCAGCAGGTTAATTAAAAGTGAAAATACATTAATTTATATTTGTAATGTTTTAATATCTGTGATGCAGCTTTTTCGACCTTCCTATGGTTTTAACCTGAGTGATCCTTACTGTCGACTTTTGGAAACACAATATAAAAGTCTCCATGATCCACATTTAAGAGCATACTATAAACGCAAAGATATTCTAAGAAGACTAAAGAAAGGTGGCTACATCACCAGCAATAACAAAGTGAGTTGATGGATGCTCTTTTGCTTAATCGATGAAAACATTTACTACTTTGTGTGTGCTCCCCTCCCTGAGTGAAAGCCAGTCTCTTGATGCAAAAACACAGGTCTCACCTCAAAGAGGATACAAAATAATTTCTTCTGGGGTCAAAAATAAGTGACAGTTGCTCAGGAACACATTTAAGTTACCCCAAAATCCATGATCTAATGGAAGCAACTTCATGAAGTTTTATAATAACTAAACAAAGAAAATCGTAAATCAAGAGACCTTTATAATGTCTTGGTGGAAACATCAGAGAAGTGGGTATAGCCAAGTGAGTAAGTGTTGAGTATAGGCCTTGTATGCTGTGTGAATAGAATTCTTTGGCTTTTCATGAGTAGAAAATAGGGATTTTAATAGACTAAAAAGGGTTTTTATATGTTAGTTCTAATAAATGTGGGCAAGGAATGTCTAAAGACACCTTAAGCTCACTTATACTTAGGTTGCGGATCTGCAACATTCAAACCCCTCATCACAGAAGTCCTAGTGAATAGGTGAGTTTTGGCAAGTACAAGGTCGTTCCAGGAATTGTCTTTCTGTAGTGTCACCATTAACGTTGCTGTAATTGAATACTTCTTGATCAGTTTTATAGAATACTCAGGGTTCAGAAAATGAGTGCTACCACATGGGATTATTTCCTTTACTCTTTTCTGTCAACTATCAACAAATTATTGTCAAGTATTTTGAAGAAGGAAAGGTATATTAATTTCCCCCCTGAGTCATAGTTCTCCTTTTTCCTCTCTGTAATGGTACTGTGTTCTTGTCAGTGTATTTTTAAAAACTTGAAATAACAATGTAGGAAATGTTTTTTAGCATCCTACGAGATTGTTCTTACTGCATTTGAGCATATCTACAATCATAATCCGGTTATAATTAATGAAAATTATTATTTAATAACTACACTTATGTAGTTCTTTATTATAATATAGTAATAAGAAAGTTTTATTTCTCGATAGAAACTTCTTGCTTACAAATGTAGAGGTACCACCAATTACATTGTTAGTAATTTCTTACTCTTCATACCAAAGTGTCATTAAAATTGTCATTGCTCTTTTTTCTCTAATAAGTAATTGTTATGACTTTAAAATATTTATATGTACATTTAAATATACATACATTTAAAATATTTATACGTTTTTTATTTTATTTTTAGATTGTTTGTAGCTTGAGGGAACTGAATAAATACCGACAATATCTTACAAGCTTAAAATTAGACTTTGAAAGAAACTATTTAAGAGAACAGGTAAGTTATGCATTTAAAATGACTGATTTAAAAGGAAGATAAAAATTGTTTTATTTGTGCGTGATATTGTCTCATATTTTGAAATTTAATTGCGGACTAAATAATCTATGTAAAATTTGGAGCAGAATGAACAATATTTGCAGGTTACATTTGTCAAATAAGGGGGAAGATTTAGATCACATCATCAGTATACTAATATTTAGTATTATTACTTATATTTAGCTGTTAATTTAGTAACTAATTCAGTAAACCAAAAAGTCAGTAAGTCAGATAAGCTAGTTAGACCTTAGCTGGCACTAGACGGTGTTGCACTAGAAAAATTCCAAGGCTAAAACAAAAGTTGTAAGAACAGCTGATTTCCTGTGTTACACCTATACTATCCCGCATAGCATTGAAGAACCAGGTAGGCTCTGTTTGTATCTATATACATACACTGTATATATTCACAAAAATTCATAAAAGTTGATTATAATTATTATATTATGATCATTTTTTAAAGTCTTGAATCAAAGTTTTGTGCAGTATGCCTCTCTGTCTCTGTCTCTCTGTCTCCCTGACTCTCTGTCTGTCTTTGTCTGTCTCTGTCTCTCTCTCTGTCTCTCTCTCTCTGTGCATGGGCGATATGCATAACAGGATTCAGATTTTTCTTAAGTGTCAAAAGATCTGAAAACTAGGCAAGCATGTGCTCACAATTTTACATTACAAAATGAAAATTTTAGAGAAAAATGAGAATGACTAAAAACCATACACATTTGAAATCCCAGTACTATGCAAGCTGGAACAGGAGAACTGCGAGTTCATGGTCAGTCTGGCTTATATATTGTGAGATCTTGTATCATTAAAACCAAAAATAGAGAGAAAACTAGTCAGGAAGGAAATGTAGTCCTGGTGAACAAATCAAATATCTGTCTTTTATTTTTAGCAAGATAAATTCCAATTTTATTTCAGCTGTCCACATTTGTAATGGACTCAAGAAAATTAAATGCAATTTATCTCATAAAATGTAGGAATTTTAATGATTATATTTCTTGGAAATGTAAAAACATTATATACTTCTGGCATTCTTTTATTTTAAAAAAACAACAGCAATTGATTACAAAACAACTACATAAACTGCAAGAAACCAGCCAACTTCCTCACTGTTCTGATGTCACACGGTTCCAGAACTGGTTGTTACAGGATAACACACAGTCTATTAAGGAGCAAGAACGTTTGTTAAGGCACAGGTGAGCCTAAAGTCATAGCATAGTGTTTGTGTGTGTGTGTGTGTGTGTGTGTGTGTGTGTGTGTGTGTGTGTGTGTGCGTGTGTGCGTGTTTAATGATTTATATTAAAAATCATTGTAAGTAGGATTTTTATTTTCTTAATAGTAAATAGTGTGTAACTCTCCTATATGACTAAGTGGATAGAGAAAAGAAGAAGGTACAGAGATCAGGAATCTTGTTCCTAAAGTTATGAGTGGAGACTTCCTCCAGGGCAGTTGAGTTTTCTGGGAATTCTAGAGATAGTGGAGTGAGAATGGGAGAATGCATCAGACCTCAGAGACATTCTTTAGGAGAAATTATTTCAGCAGTGGCTAAAAAAAAGCAAGTTTTTATAATCACCCTTGAAAGACTGACAGCATTAAGTTTAAAGAAATCAGTCCAAAGAAATCACTGAGGCCTTGGGTAGTACATCAGTGTTTACAAGGGTGTATGAATGATCTTTGGGAGCCCATTCCAAATAGAGGGATGCTCTCTCAGCCTGGACACATGGGGAAGGGCCTATGTCCTGCCATGGATGAAATGACAGACTTTGCAGATCTCCCCAAGGAGGGACTCACCCTCCCTGGGGAATGATGTGGGGATGGGTTGGGGGACAGGTGGGGGGCTGGTGGAGGGACAAGGGAGGAGGTGTGGGAGAGGGAGCTGGGATTGACATGTGAAGCCTTCATGTTTCTAATTTAAATGAAAACCTATATTTAGGGGGAAAAAAAAGAAATCAGTCCAAATGAAAAACAGGAGTTTTAGCATATCTGAAGAAAACATGAACATTCTAGAATAACAGCAAATTTATTCAGATGTTCCCATTCATAATCAATAACTAGCATTACTAAATTTATCTTTATGAAAGTGAAACGATGTTCCATTCTTTTTCCTTTCCAAAGAGCGAGAGTTTTATGTCTAGTGACATTTATTGTTACTTTTGTTTCCCCGACCTTCCTGGGAGTTTTGTGTTGCTAGCAACAGCCTAGTGCTCACTTAGTTCTGAAAATACTCTTTCAGTGAATACATTTGAGGCCATGCTTGCTTTCGTTGTGTTTGTAAGTCCAGATTCCTAAGCCCACTGAGTTATGGTTCATTGTGTAAAACTCTGAATCGTGTTTGTTCCTCCACTCCACTATTTTTTTGGCCTTGGTAATACATATGCAGTCCAAAAGAAGAATAAAGAATGAGCCAAACATTATGAGCATGTCTGATCTGAAGAGTGATTAAGGGAACTGAAAAAACAACAACAAAGTATAAACCTTATGAAAATTGTATAGTTCAAACCCTGGCGAGCAGGGGAAGGCTTGGTTTGGTGGATGAAGACAAAGCTTCCCAACGCCCTTGCGATCATATGTTCATCCCTACTCAGGTATTTGGATATGATCAGTAAAGAATTAGAACAACTTGAGCGCACAGCGGAGGAGCAGCGCCTGCTCCGCATGGACAGAGAAGAGCGACGGCAGCGGGAATACACAAGAAAAAAACTTAGTCTTCGTAGAAAAATTGAAGAGGTAAGAGGTGACTTTAAGTGTTGTGAGGGGAAAATGAGTGCAACTTTTCCATTTGTGAATAGTTTTAATGGTAGATGCAGATGCCACAAACTGCATAACGAACCATCTGTTTTGTTTTTAAAGACCAATGTAAAGTTATTAAGCATTGCTTCACTTTCCATTAAACTTCAGTGTGCATAAGAAATAATTTCTAAATTATCTTTAGTAAAAATCAGCCATAGCTAACTTTCATTCTTTATTAAAATTTATTCATTTGAATATGCACACCGCATAATGCAGTGGATAAATCAGGACAGCTTAGGGGAGTCAGCTATGAGGGTTATCAACAGGTACTGCACCCTCTGAAGCACCTCCTAGCTTTATTAATACAAATGCTCTGAGAAAAGTCCATTCGAAAAGGGCTGAATGACATATATATATATATATATATATATATATATATATATATATATTTGATGACTTGATAGCTGTTGGTCCCTTGGCTTGCCAGCTTTTCCCTTGGTGGTGAACAAAACGCACCTGTCGTGAAAACAAAACACACTCTCCCCTTCATGATGATACTGTGGTCCCTAGGAATGGAAGACAAAGGAGATGCTGCTGCTCACGAGGATCGGAGAAGATGTCAAGAGAGAGCAGAGGGTAGAGGAGCAAAGGCGGAGAAGCCGAGAAGAGAGTGACAGAAAGGTACTGTGAGGTTCTTTCTTGGGATGCTTGAAGAGTAGCTTTGTTTTTTAGAGTAAATACTTGTGTGAATAATTATTCAAAAGTATATGTTATGCAAAACTGAATGGTAAAATCTTAAAAAAACAAAAGCCTGGGTGTGGCTATGTGGCACAGTCTGTTCGTGAACTCCTGAGACTCCAAGAGACCTGGTGACCTCAGTCTCCTGAGAGCATGTGAGTCTTGAACCCACTGCCAGCGCCACCATGCCCAGATACCCACACTTTTACATGTCTTGTCCAATGCATTTTCACAATGTGAAAATCATTGCTCCATTATTTGATATAATCTCTTTTGGATTTATCTTCACAATAAAACACTAGCTTCAGTTCTCATAAAAGCCTTACTCTTACAAAAATGTTCCTGAAGAGAACTAAAAAAAAACCACAAAACTTTGGCTTTTCCTTCATTTTTAAAAAAGTTTTACTCTTCTCTTTCTGTGTTTAATAGTATGTTGTGCCTTCTGATTTAAAATGTAAAGCAGAATAAGGACAAACAGCAACATATAGAATCTAACTAAATGTTAAGTGTACATACACAATACACACTATCCAATGTTCTTAGAAATGTTTATTTACTCCTAAAGTAAGCAATTCTTTTTCATCTTTTTAAAAAGATTTATTTTTAGTTTATGTGTGAGTGTTTACCAGCATATATGCATATACAGAGGCCAGAAGAGGGAGTCAGATCCCCTGGAACTTGAGTCACATGCAGTTGTCATCTGCCATGTGGGTGCTGGGAACTGAACCCGGTTTCTCTGCAAGAGCTCTTAACTCCCAAGTCCCCATCCTGTTTTCGCTTTTACATCTTATAGTTTGTAGGTAGTTTCTTCATTTAATAAAACACACTAAGTGATTTTTCATGATAATAAATATATATCTAAAATTCTAAATTTTGGATAAATTATTCTTGGCAAACTTAGATGTATAATTTACAAAGTTAGATTTGTATTAGAATATAAAAATTGAAATTTGTATTCTGCTTCTCACATGTGCATCTTAGTCTTGTTTGAGATTCACTCTTCACATGAATAAGTAGGCTTGTCTTATTTAGTAAAATCTGCATATCATCTTATGTTCAATGTTTCAACAACTCTGTAAACACCTATATTAAGCAAACACATACATTCACAAAAATAATTAATTACAGTAGGTTTTAATAATATGATAGTATTACATAGCAGTTTCCATTAGCATGCATCTCAAAGGTAAACTACTATTAATAGAATTAGTTATGAGGTTCTCTATGTCTATCATACATACTTTTCATCAGGTCTAAAAAATTCTATTACTAGATTTCCAAAAGTTTTATTAGGAAGGAATTTTGGTGGGTCATCAAATATTTTCTTTTATGATTTTGTTGAATTGATGTTTATGGTTCTGCAATATATAATATAAATCAAATTCAAAATGTTCAATCAATATGGAATTCATGGTCATAAAATCAGTTCGTTTGATCTCTAATTTATGTGATATGTAGTTTGATACAAATTGCCTAAAATTTGTATAGAATTTTGCAGAAGAAATGTTAGCATGCTTTGTTTTGTTTTTGATCTTGTGTAGTGTCTTTATCTAGATCTGGTATCATTGTAGCATAATCTCATTCATTTGGTTTGTAATCTTCCTCAGGGTTTCTCCTGAATCTCAGAGTTCACCATAGGTAGCAACTTTGGAATTTTTTAGGTATCAGTTGTAAAAATATTTCTGTTACATTTCATATGAGTTAATTTTCACTCTGTGGTCAAATATCTGAAAAGAAGTGACTTAAGAAAGGAAGAGGTTATTGTGCTTCCAGTTCCATTGGATACAGTCAATCATCATCTTAGAGATAAGGCAGGATCATGACAACCGGTCCCACTGCATCCACAGTTTGGAAGCTCAGGAAAAAAATCAATGTTTGTGCTTAGCGCACCTTTTTACTTGTTATTCATTTATTTTGAGATGCCAGTGTTAAGAGAAGCTTTTTCCTTGAGAGAATGCCTTCCCGCCCACCTGGTTCCAGATCCGCATCAGTCCCAAATAAACACACAGAAGGCTATATTAATTATGAAGCTGTTGGCCTTGCTTGTTTCTTCCTGGCTAGCTCTGCTTTAAGCAATTACCCCATAATTGTTAATCTAAGTATTTCTCTTACCGGAGAGGTTTCCGGGCTTCCTACCCCAATGACGTTACATCTCGACTCTCCTGTGTTTCTCCTTCCCAGAATCCTCCTGGACTCCTAGCCCCACCTATCTAGATTCCTATTGGCCAGCAGTAATTTATTAACATATACACAGGACTTCCCCAACATCTCCTCTTTTCTGTTTAAACAAAAAGAAAGGTCTTAACTTTAACATAGTCAAATTACATATAACAGAACAGTTATCAAATAAGAACATAGTTACAATATTTTAGCAAGATTTAAAGAAAATATCATCCATCCCATCCTTGTGAGTCCAAAGTTCTATATGTATCTTTTATCATAACTAAGGAAAACTATAATTATAACTATCTGTCTTCAACTCCATCAAAGACCACAGAAGGATAATATATAAACACTAGGATTGACAGAGGTATCTTACTGCCTGGACAGTCACCCAAAGTTCCTCTGTAACGTTGGGACATCCATCTTCAGCCCATAGGCCACAATGTGTCTGGAACACTTCTCAGCAAAGCAGGAAATTTCAAACTGTCCATCTGCATTGACAGTCTATCATTCATTTTTCTTTGTCCTGCAGAAAGTCTCGCGGACTCTTCCATGAAGCAGGAACCCTGTAAAACTGAGTTCAGCATTCACTTTCCTGTGGGTCCTGCATGTCCAGTTTATACAGCAACAGTCAGTCTAGGCAAGAGCAGTTTCTTGCCCAAATGGCTAATCTTGCCATATTGAAAGCAAACTCCATAACGAGTTTCTTCGATGCCCATCTTCCTCTCAGACATAATTGGTGCTGCCAGGAGCAGACATTTCTCATTGTCAAGAAAAACCCTAAACCATTTAAAATGCCATTTTCTGAAGGTCTTTGAAAGGTTTGAAGACTATCTATCTCACATATATTTCTGTATATCTAGAAAACCTAACTTACCTAACTATAAATTCTGACTATTATAAGTAACTATCTATAATCTGTATTTAATTACGCATTAAATTTTAAAAGATCAGTATAAGCACAATACTTAATCAAGAGGAGAAATATATGCATCACAAAATTGACCTTGAATTTGTATCAATAAATGAAAAACAATACCCATACCATAATTCCCTTTTTTACCATTAAAAAGACATTGGTTGTGATCATTAACCAATTATAAACAATCCCATTTAAATGAAAACAAAGGTTTATAAACAAGATGGGAATTAGGATGTCGCTCATTCCAAACTGCTTCCTGCTGGAAGTGTACTTTAGTAGCTGTTCCTTCCTTAGCAATCAAAAAACTGAAAAACATAATAGCGTACAGTATCCAGACTCTCTGTGTATTTTCCATCTTTACGTGGCTTATTTATCTATTATTACTTTATTTATTTTACTTTTATTTATTTTTCTCTTAGACAGGGTTTCTCTTTGGAAATCTGCCTGCCTCTGCCTCTGGAGTAAATCCTACCGGCGTGCACCACCACAATGCTGGCTTTTTTATTTATTTACCACTTTGACGTTTCATTTTCTCTCTCAATCTCATGCATATTTTTAAACACTCTGTAAACCTTTAGAGGTTTTGTTCATCCAAGTCTGACTTTACTGTAAATCTTCACGTTTTTCTGGCCTACTGTAAATCTTTATGTTTTTCTGGCCACGTGTCTTATCTGTAAAACCGCAGCTGTTTTAAACTGCCGTTTCAAGATGGCGGGCGTAAGCGAGATTCCAGCTTACCGCCTCAGTCCATGTTGACATCCAGCAAAAGCTGCCATTTCCAGCAGAACGTACACACCTTTAAATCGTTAGCAGAGTCTCTTAAAACAACCTTACTGGTCTTTTTTTGTTTTTTTTTTTGTTTTTTGTTTTTTTTTTATGCCGAGTCAGGAAGACTCCAGTAAGCAAGCCACGTGAATCTCGGCTTGTGGCTAGCAAAACAGAGCACACCTGAGAATAATGCTGCTACCAAAATCTGTGTTTCTCTCTGTTCTTCTGTTTCTAAAATTCCTTTAAAGCTTTTGTTGTTTTGCATAGAAATTCAATCCCACTCCTGACAACCATTATGTTAAGAGAAGCTTTTTCCTTCAGAGAATGCCTTCCCGCCTGCCTGGTTCCAGATCTGCATCAGTCCCAAATAAACACACAGGAGGCTATCTTAATTCTGAAGCTGTTGGCCTTGCTTGTTTCTTCCTGGCTAGCTCTGCTTTAAGCAATTACCCCATAATTTTTAATCTAAGTATTTCTCTTACTGGAGAGGTTTCCAGGCTTCCTACCCCAATGGCGTTACATCTCAACTCTCCTGTGTTTCTCCTTCCCAGAATCCTCCTGGACTCCTAGCCCCACCTATCTAGATTCCTATTGGCCAGCAGTAATTTATTAACATATACACAGGACTTCCCCAACATGCCAGCCCCTGGGATAGTGCTGCCCACATTTAGGGTGTGCCTTCTCTTTTCAGTTAATCCTCTCAATAAAGAACCTCACAGACCCACCATGTGGCTTACACCCATGGTGATTCTAAATCCCAACAAGTTTGCAGTGAAGATCAACCATACATGTCCATCCATGCTTTCCTCCTTTTAGAGCTGTAACTACATTAAATGAAGTCTTCATGTTTGAAAGTCTGAATCTTTTCCCTTTCTGTGCTTCCTTTAAGATAATTTCTATCTCTAAATTCATATAGAATGCAGCTAGATTGGGTGCATTGATATTCTCAGCTTGAAATCTAACTTCTTTGTCTTTCCTAGGTTAACTATAATTGAATGATGTAATTTTATAGGTCATATGGCTCTGTTTCTTTACAGGCCTAGTATTCTTACATTTGTTGCCACATATTGACTTCATGTATTCAATCATTGTAACATTGGAAACAAGTTGATTAATCAGATCCTTTTATGATTTATTAGCTGAGACTAGTGTTATCTGAACTGGTGTTTCCCTGAACTGGTTACTGAAGCAAGGGCCATTTTAATGTGTTAGCCAGTATGACTCATGAAGCCTTTACACTGGAGCTTGTGAAAATACATATAATGTTCATCTTTAGAGAAATGCAAAGCTCTCTTCTCTCTTACCCCTCAGGATGTTTCTTTATGCTATATTGCATACTTCTTTATGTGTAACAATCCTTTTTCTTACAGAATGATATAAAGTGCCTAGGGCTCTCTCTGCACATTTATCTCTCTTCTGCCATGTCTGTGGTCAGTAGTATCACAGAGTTTCACAAACAAAGGTTACATTTCAAAAAACATAGGAGTAATTTGAATACTTTGTGAGACTTACTAAGTGTTTGATTGGAAATAGAATGGACACCTGCTGCTCTCTAAATACTATACGATTACAAGCCACAAGACAGTAAGTGTTTAATTCTGCTGTAATACATGGTTTAAATATTTGTTAGGAATTTCTAAATGACAAATTAATACTAATCAGTATATTTTCTTTAACATTTTAGAAACAAGCAATGCTAGAGAAAAAAATGGCTTATCATTTACAAAAAATGCAGGATACTGGAATTAAAGATGAGACAGGAAGAAATGCATTTGAATATAAAGGACAAAACGGAGTTCCTTATGAATGTGAGAATTATACCACTAAGTAGGACATATTGATCTCTGTAACATGTAATATCTTAAATACTTGTATTTGCTATCCATTTTATATGAGGTCCTAAGCTAACCACTTCCACATTACTGTTCAAGTTGAAAAGATCACACATGCAAATGTGGATGTGAGTGTGCACAACTAAACTGAAATAATCTTATCAACTCATTTAAGAGACAAATTTGATTGCTCTACAGTTTTTATTTATTTTTAATTTAAATTAGGAACAAGCTTCACATGTCAATCCCACTCCCTCTCCCTCTCCTCCTTCCCCGTCCCCCACCAATCCCCCACGCCACTCCTCAGGGAGAGCCTCACACTCCCTGGGGGAATCTCCAGAGTTTATCATTTCATCCAGGGCAGGGCCTAGGCCCTCCCCATGTGTCCAAGCTGAGAGAGCATCCCTCCATGTGGAATGGGCTCCCAAAGTCCATTTGTATGCCAGAGATAAATACTGATCTACTAGCCAAGGCCCCATAGATTACTGAGGCCTCCTCACTGATACCCACATTCAGGGGATCTGGGTCAGTCCCATGCTGGCCTCTCAGCCATCTGTCTGGGGTCCATGAGCTCTCCCTTGTTCAACTTTACCAAAAGAAAAAAGGAGCAGAAATCCACACACAATTCCACCACCACCACCAATTCCAAAACAAACAAGAATGAGCAATTAATTGTCATTAATTTCCCTCAATATTAAGGGTCTTAACTTGCCCATAAAAAGACACAGACTAACAGAATGGATTTGAAGACAGAATCTATCCTTCTGCTGCATGCAAGAAACACATCTCAGCTTCAAAGACAGTTGTTACCTCAGATTTAAGGGTTGGGAAAAATTTTTCCAGTCAAATGGACCCAAGAAACAAACAGGGGTAGCAATCCTATTGCCCTACACTTTATACACCAATTTTCCTATACTTAAGATGATGCATATTTTATTATTAACACATTAAAACTAATATATAAAATAATTGTTTATATACGTAGACCTTGTGTTTTTGTGTGATGTCAACTAGTAAGAATAGAAAAACCGGGAAATTGTGGAAATAAACCTGGAGGAAAGGTTGTAGACAAAATAAGGGGAACATAAAATGAAAAAGAATGGAAGGTTTAAAAGTAACAGAGCATGACTTGACTGTGCCTAATATCAGCTGCATTTTATGTGTAACAACAAGAAATTACAGTGAAACAATATATATTAGTAATTGGTTAACATAGTAGAATTCTTTCAAAAGTTCAAAGAATGTGTACTGTTAGAAAGAACATGGTCATTAATCTTTCTTATCAGTCCCACTTTTAGTTTTTGTTCCTCCCTATATCACTATTACTTTAGTAACTGTTCTTAATTAGATTCTGTTTTTACCTTCCCCAACCCATGTTTTGTATCTGTTTAATTCTGATAATTTCTTCTGTTGACCCAAAACTGTATCCCACTAAATTCAGTTTAAATGGTGTATTCAAGAAAGCATCAGTACATGGAGTCCAGTCCTAAATTAAACTTGTAGATTTTGTTTTGCACTATATGCTTGAGGATGAGAGCTGTCCTCTACTGGTGCCATGTACAGGTTCCAAAGTTACACTACTACTGTCCAACTCCTCCTCTAACTTCTCCTCTATAATCTTCAGGACCTGTGAATGGGTTTTGCAAGTTACTTAACATTTCACAGACATTTTCACCACCTAAAACTGAGCATATTAAACAACTTATATGAAGACGTGCACAATTCTACCACATAGGAAGACTTTATAGTTTTGTCAAAAAAGGAGTACTGACCATTATTAAACATTCTATTTCCCCTTTTTTTGTATCTCTGTGTCCATTTTCTCAACCAACTATCACCACTCACTGTTTATTTCTAATCCTGGACACTCAATTTGCATTCAATCAAGTATTTCTTGATAACCTTCAAGTGCACGCTCCCTCTTCTATACATCACTGGAATCTTGCAATACTCTATCTAGTTACAGATTTCCAATGTTTTAAATCACTATTATACTAAACTTATATTTTTTGCATATCATACAATTTTGAGAAAGATAAATCTAATAAATGAGTTTGCTAGATGGATTAACTCAGTGTATTTACTTCTTAAAACGTTGGTGCAACCTGTGCTTCAGATTACAAATCACTCTTAACAGATTCGCACATTCCAATATCTTTCTCAAGTGAGGGAAATAATGTGAATTGTCAATTTTTTCAAATTGTTTCAAAATATTTTTAAATTTTTAATTTTTGTGTGTTTTATCCTATATGCATATATGTGAACCATATGCATACCTGGTATCTCTGGTACTGGAACTGGTTGTTTGTGAACCATCATTTGGATCCTCAGAATTAAACCCAGGTCTTCTACAAGAGCAACAATTACCCTTAATGTCTGAATCATCTGTTCAGCTCCCTGCAGTAACAATCTTAAATATTGCTACATCACACTTCCTTAGAAAGCAGTATATTAATATTTTCATAATATTGAAGTGACAAGCTGTAAAGATATCAATTTCACAACTATAGTAATATCTTCTTCTACCAAGTAGAGAAACATATATACACACCTTATATGTTTAATTTCATTTTTCTCTAAGTAAAATTCAAGAATCTCATAGTCATAGACTGGTGAATCTTCATCAATGTCATTATTCTGATATGCATTTTTGCAAAAGTAAGCTTCATGCTTATGGTGCAGGTTTCCTTCTTTCGAAGATAAAAAAGCCTCTCTTAAGTATGTCTTCTAGGTAAAAGGCATAATACTTCAGAAATAATTATCTCCTCCCATTTGATATGTCTTCATATTCTCCTCTCTGTCCTCCAAAAACCACATATAGATTAACAAGGACTTGTTTTATATTAAGCATGAAAGAATATTCGATCTTGGTTAATTCTGTTATCACTACTAATAATATGTCTTATTACATTTTTAAGCTTCCATAAAGAAGAAAAAGAAGCAGTTTGATGACATAAAAATAGTTTATCCTGATGGTGAAGAGAAAACATGCAAAGGAACATCAGGTAATTGGATATTTTAAGAAATATCAAATATTACAGTAGCAATTTTGGAGACTACTGAGTTGAGGTGACCTTCACTTGGAAGCAGATAAAGCTTCCGTTTATTCGGATGAATGACTTTTTTAGGCTGCCTGCCATGTACTGATATCAGATTTAATCTCTAGATAGCCGGGTTAGTGCCTTCAATTGGTCATTGAACTTTCACTTAATAAGAGTTGAATGCAGGATTTACTAATACTAATTATAGATACAGATTCACTGAGTGTAAAACACTTTATATTCTCAGAATGTTTTTAGAAAACTCTGAAATAATTCAGAAGCTAAATATATTGATTGAATCTAAGCTAAAGTGAGCATTTGTTGAAGTATCACTTTCTATAATTGCTATGCTGCATCACTTTGTTTTCCATGTAAGTTTACTCAATTATACCATGAACCTCCCAACAAGAAGTAAATCTTATTATATACATGAAAATGAAAAAAATTAAATCTGAACAATATACTTCTTTCACTAAAAACTCTCGTTTCTTTTTAATAGGTAAGCTTAGAATAACCTTGGGACTTACTGATTAAAACCTAAAGAAAACAGAAAACAAAACAAAGTCCAAGTTTTTTCTTCCCTGTGTGTAATCAGCATGTTTTTTTTTTAGAAAAATTTTCAACAATCTCGTCTGCCACAAGGTCCTCTGAATGTAAACTTGTTCATCTCTCTGATACCTTGAAAGAGAATGACCTCCATAGGCTCATGTACTTCAATGCTTGGTCCTTAGTTGGTAGAACTGCTTACAAATTATTAATAGATGTGGCCTTGTTCGAGAAAGTGTGCCATTGGGAGTGGGATAGCTTTTAGGTTGCAAAAGCTCACCTCATTCCCAGTTAGCATTTCTCAATCTCCTACTAGAGTTTGGGTAAGATACCATGGGCCTTAAAAAATTCTTACTCTCCCTCTATCAACAGCTGACACAGATAACTCCAGCTACTACAACTTTGATGATATTGAGCATGTTCTTATAACCCAGGTTGGCCTCAAACTTCTAGCATTCCTTCTGCCTCAGCTTCTGTTCTGATGGTATTATAAGCATAAAGTCACCAGAACACTGCCCATCTTCAAGCTGGTTTCCAACATGACTATTTTTGTTATTATGCTTTCAGTTTTATCAGGAGTATTCTAGGTTTATAATATTATTGTTCTTTAGAATAAACAATTAGTCAACACTGTACTTCCTTCATTGGAATATAGCATTCTTACTACTATATACTAATTATTCTCCTTCAGAATTTCCTCATGTACCATGCCTATATACATCCAATATCCAATTAGACACTGCATACATTTTTCTTTTAATTATGAAATGCATTTTGCAGACTTACTAAGGGAAAATGTGTTGTTTACCATGATTGTTCCCACTGCATTTTGCTTTAATACTTTCATGCAAGGTTATCTTTCTGGTGTTATTTCATTCATCTTAGTCTTCTTTGGTCTCTCTTTTATAAAGCATTTCCAGCAACAAATTAACTCAGGTTTGTGCCGCTGCTGTTGTTTTTAATCTCATACTCTTTTTATCTTTACTCCTGAAATTCATTACTCTCATTTAGAATAGACTTTAGGTTGACAGTTGATTGTACACTTTTAAAAACCTGTCCATGACTAGGGAAATTACTCAGTCTTTGAAGATCTTGTCACCCAGGTACAAGGCCCTGAGTTCTCATCCCCAGCATACATCTTAAAGTCCTAAGTCCCTAACCCTGTCCTAGGATGGGTTTGGGCAGCAATAAATGGATGACTGGACCTCATTGGCTAGCTGAATAGATGAGCTCCAGGTTCAGTAAGAAACCTTGGCTCCAAATACTAAAGTGGAGCCTGATCAAAGTAGACAATCATCACTGACTACAGGCCTCCACATACATATACACACAATACCATACACTTTGTAAACATATGTACAGCAGCATTGACATATTTAAACTGAAAACAAATCATACAGAAGCTTGCACATCAATATTCATTTCAATATACTGTTCACAATAAATTATGAAATCAAGATAGATGCCCTTCAATAAAATACTAAAGAAAAGATGGTATATATGCACAACAAAAATATATTTTGTCAAAAGAGAACAAAATTGTGTCATTTGCAGAAATATATGTGCAAGTGTAGAATATCATATTAAGCAAATTAAATCAAACTCAGTGAGAAATACTGAATGTTTTTGCTCATTTGCAAATCCTAGATTTTATGTGGATACATAAAAGTATATATTTATGTAAGACATGAATGTACAAATGAAACTGTAAGATTAAGGACGACTAATGGAAAGGTTAAGGGAAAAGAGGGGGGAAGTCTATTATATACCTGTATAGAAATGTCTTTATGAAGCCTAATATTATATAAAATGTATGTGACAATTCACAACAATAGGAGTTGAGAAATGTTTGCACTTCAGTGTTATGAAAGTTTGTGTAAATTTAATTTCCCTTGAAAATTGACTTCAATGGTGTGAAGTCACTTAAACCCAAGAAGTAATTTGTGTTTGAAATCTTTTTTTGTAGAAAATGTTTTTATACTCGTTTGTATTTATTAAACAATAATCTACCCATATTTTTACTTATTCATAAATAAGATTGATATGTGAGTTTTCAATAATTTTGTCTCTTATTTAAGCGTTCATATCATACATTTTGCGTTGTACACCTTTCTTAATCTTTTGGTAATTATCTATAGACTCAGCTGTGTTAATACAATCCTTTCCCTTCCCTAGTCAGTCAGTCTTGTTTTTCTTTTTTAACTGAATTTAGAGTCGCCTGTTGATATGATTACTTTTTAAATTTTCGCTATGTTTTTAAATGAATCACTTTCTCTGCTTATTAATATTGAAACACATGTGTGAAAGAAGATAAATTATGATACATTGATAATTGATATTACAGTAGGGTGGTCACTTTGATAAAGTTTTTGAAGTTACCTAAAATTATATTTACCAAATGACCCAGACAGTTCTTATGGTAAAGATTTATTCACTTTAATTAAAGTAGATGCAGAGACAGATCAATAGTTTTATAGACACACACATATGTATATATATATGCATATATAGATCTATTGATGTTATATATGTATATCTATGTATAGTTTGTGCATGAAAATTCACAGAAGTTCATTTAAGAAGTGGCTGGAATTGAAAACAACTGAGATGTCCATGAACTGATGGTAGACTACAAAGTGAGGTGTATCCAAACAACATTATATTGCATAAAAATATTTTACTTCTCCCACAATAAAAACAAAGGAGAAGTGTACACGTTGTATAATTGCATTAATGTAAATTTTCAGAAAACACAAACTAATCTTAAGCATTACAGATCAGTACTTTCTTGGGAATAGAAAGACAGATCGATTACAACCATTAAGCCTAGCACTTACATGAGTAATTCCAATATATTGTTGATTGAATGATGTTTTCAGTTGTATCTCTTAGGGAAGTATTGTTTCCCATGAATATTTCAAATGTTAATAATTAGCTTAAGGAAATACAATTGGTTATACTTAAGAACATGTTTAAAAACAAATCATATCTTTCTCATTTACCTCTAGGACAAGTATCAACTGCTGTTAATCAGTCTCAGAGTAATTCAAAGAATGTTACAAAAATATCAGTATCTTCAGTTGCTTATCAGCCAGACATACAGAACAGTAGTTCGGAGCAAAAGGTAAAAATGTTTCAAATTATGTGGTTAGTATTGTTTCATCTGCTTAAGTTTATTATTATTATTATTAATTTAATTTTATATTCCAACCTAAGTTCTCCTTCCCATGCCCCCATTCTCCCACCATACACACCCTCCGTCCATTCCTCCCAACAGTTAAGAGCTCCTATGGGGAGTTGTCAAAGTCTGGCACATTAAGTTGGGGCAGGACCAAGTTCCTCCCCCCATGCTAAGATGGAGTATGGCATCCCTCATAGGGAATGGACTTCAACAAGCTAGTTCATGCACCAGGCATAGATTCTGGTCATATTACCAGGGGCCCCTCAGATAGCCCAAACTTTGCCACTGTCTCCCATATTCAGAGGGCTTAGTTTGGTCCCATGGAGGCTCAATGGCTGTCGATCCAGAGTTTATGAGTTTCCATGAGCTTGGGTCAGCTCTGTTGATTTCTCCAACATGATCTTGACCTCCCTTGCTCATGTATTCCCTCCTCCCTCTCTTCGACTGGATTCCCAGAGCTCAGCCTGGTGCTTGGTTGTGGATCACTATATCTGGTTCCACCAATTTTTGGATGAAGGCTCTATGACAATACTTGGGGTATTCACCAATCTGATTACAGAGAAAGACCAGTTCAGGCCCCCTCTCCACTCTTGCTACGAGTCTTAGCTGGCATTATCTTTGTGGATTCTTGGGAATTACCTCAGTACCAGGTTTCTCTGTAATCCTATAGTGCCTCTCTCTATCAAGGTATCTGTTTCCTTGCTCGCCCTCTACCCACTCCTACTTCAGCCATTCTATTTCCTCATGTTCTCATCACCTTGCCACCAGTTTGTCCAGGAGATCTTAACTAATTTTCTTTCCTCTAAGGGTTTTCCTTGTTACCTAGCTTCTCTGGAGCTGCGGATTATAGTCTGGTTATTCTTTACTTTACATTTAATATTGACTTACTAGTGAGTACATACCATATTTGTCTTTTTGAGGCTGGGTTACCTCACTCAGGATGTTTTTTTTTCTAGTTCCATCTATTTGCCTGAAAATGTCATGATGTCATTGTTTTTATTTTCCGGCTGAGTAATACTCCATAATACTCCATTGTGTAAATGTACCACAGTTTTTTAGTTCATTCTTCAGCTGAGGGTCATTTATGTTGTTTCTAGGTTCTGGTTATTATGAAAAATGCTGCTATGAATATTATTGAACAATGTCTTTGTGGTATGATTGAATATCCTTTGTGTATATGTTCAAGAGTAGTATCTCTGGGGCTTGAGGTAGATTGATTCCCAGTTTTCTGAGAAACAATCATACTGATTTCCAAAATGGCTGGACAAGTTTCCACTCCCACCAGTAGGTGAAAAAGTGTTCCCCTGACGCCACATCCTCTCCAACATAAACTATCCTCAGTATTTGGGATCTTAACCATTCTAACAGGTATAAGATGGTATCTCAGAGTCACTTTGATTTGCATTTCCCTGATCATTAAGGATGTTGAGCAATTCTTTAAATGTCTTTCAGCTATTTGAGTTTCTTCTGTTAAGAATTCTCTGTTTAGATCTGTACCACATTTTTTTTTTTTATTAATATTTTTTTATTTTCCATTTTAAATTTAGATAAGAAACAAGGTTGCTTCACAAGTCAGTACGAGGTCCCTCTCCCTTTCCCTCCCCTCCTCCCGTGCCCTCCCCCCATCCCCCCCCCCCCGTTATCCCCTCATTCCCCCAGGGAGGGTGAGGCCCTCCATGGGGGTGTCCATAGTCTGTCATTTCATATAGGGCAGGGCCTAGACCCTTCCCCAAGAGTTCAGGGTGAGAGTGCACCTCACATTGTTCTATGGGAGTCCAGAGACCGTGTGTATACTTGGGATGGGTACTGATCTGCTGTCCAAGGCTCAATAGATTACCTAGGCCTCCTCACTGACACCCAGATTCAGGGGGTCTTGATCAGTCCCATGCTGGATTCCCAGGCTGATGCCTGGGATTCAAGAGTTAACCTTTTTTAAAATTGTATTATTCTGTGTTTTAATGCCTAGATTCTAGAGTTCTTTATAAATTTTGGAGATCAGCTGTTTGTCAGATGTGGGGTTGGCGAAGATCTTTTCCCATTCTGTCGGCTGTTGATTTGTCTTGTTGACTGTGTCTTTTGCTTTACATAAACTTTTCAGTTTCAGGAGGTCCCATTTACTGATTGTTGCTCTCAGTGTCTATGCAATTGGTGTTATATTTAGGAAGTAGTCTCCTGTGCAATGCATTCAAGGATACTCCTCACTTTCTCTTCTTTCAGGTTCGGTATAACTGGACTTATGTTGATGTACTTGATCCATTTGATCTTGAGTTTTGTGCATGGAAATGTATATAGATCTATCTGCAGTCTTCTGCATGTTGACATCAAGTTGTGCCAGTTCCATTTGTTAAAGAGGTGTCCTGTCCTTTTTCCCTTGTACTTTTTTGGCTTCTTTGCCAAAAATCAGGTGTTCATAGGTGTGTGGATAATGTCAATGTCTTGGATTTGATTCCATTTGTCCACATGTCTGTTTTTATGCCAATACCAAGCTATTATTACTATAGCTCTATAGTAGACTTTGAAGTCAGGGATGGTGATACCTCTGGAAGTTCCTGTGTTGTAAAGGATTGTCTTAGATATTCTGTTTTTTGTTTGTCTGCTTGTTTGTTTTTCCATATGAAGTTGAGTATTCTTCTTTCAATGTCTGGGAAGGATTTTATTTACATATGTTCTGTCTTCTGCTAACCTTGTATTATTAGGGCAAATGAATTCTTCCAAGAAAATGTGATCCCACTCTGGGGCAATGAAGAGTCAATTTAGTGTTATTATTCATTTACTATGAAATTTAACAAAACAAATCCAAAGCCCAGGAACAATAGTCATGGTAGAATTGCTATTTATTGGTACTGTAAGAAATCTATGCTCATGTTGCTGACCAAACACTAGGGTAATAAAAAATATGGGAAAATAAGAAAATTGAGCCAATTTTCTTATTAAATTGAATGCAAATTGAGTCCATTGAATGCAAAAGTGAGTGAGGTAACACCCATCTCAAGGACACATTGTCTAGTCAGGCATAGACATAGAAAATGTTACACTAATCTGGAATGACTAATTTTTACTCTGACTCTGTTTCTAAGGAATATTTTAAATACACATTATAGTGATGCATGGAATTTGAATGGATAGAATTTTATTTCTCTGTATCCAGTTGAATGACTAAGTTTTAAAAACTATCCATTGAATGTCTCCCTGTGTCTTTAATAGAGTACAGATCTACATTGCTATAAATTGAGCTTAATATTGAACTAAATTTAGGATGGCAAAAAGTGCCCTGGGAAGTTAGTCATATTCACTGTACCTGGTACACATTTTTTGACAAACTTAAGGAATGAAGGGTATAAAAGCATCTGGATTCATTTGATTTTCTGATAGAAAGCAAAATCTCTTACTGAAATATTATTACTTATATTTTTCTCCTTATATTTTACCATGTAGAGAAATGAAGTAATGAGAAAAATAAGTGATGAAAGAGGTAAGATTATATACAGTACTAACAATTCACTTAAGTACATAATTGTACTCTGTTAATCTGGTTTCGAAAGCTGTTTTACCTATTTTTAAAAGGAATGCTTAATTTCACATTTTATTATTGAAGTGCCATTCCTCCAGTCACTTCTTTTTATCTCACTATACATCTCTCTGTTGAAAGCAGAATCTTCTTAAAACAGCTTTTTATCACTTATTTGCCTTTTTCCTCAAATCAATTTAAAGTCCAGCTTTGTTTAGTCCTTTGCACAACAGTAGATTGTCACTGAAGACTGAATACAATTAAAACCATCCATTTTGTCAGTGAACCCTGTTAGCTTGTGAGACTAAGCTGTTGCAGTCATCAAAAATTAAAGGATTTCATATTTTTCTTTGGAAGGAATTTGGAAGAAGTGATGTTTTAGGCAGTAAACATCCACAAAGATGTTATCCTTGGAGAAGTTTGCTTAGCTTAGATTGCAAACTGTAATTATTCTAGGCAGTGTTGCAATTTAGTGGGGAGAATGCCAGAGCAAGACTGCAAGTTGTGCTTTACCTTTGATTCTACAGTGTGTTCCTATTTAGAACTACCTCTTATCTCTCCAGTTCCTGTAAACACATCAGCTCGGAATTCAATTATTTCAACTCAAAATTCACCCACAAAGAATACTAGACTTTCCCATGCATCCTTGGGTCCTCAAAAAGACGAGGTATGTAACATTTAATTTGCTCTAAGTTCAATCATAATAAATCAGACATGCTAAGGTCATTTTAATATATGAAAATGCCCTTCTTTAACCTTACTACTAGTATATCTCCATTCCATGAAATTTATCATAAAATAGTAAAGGTGTTAATAAATAACTCAGGGTCAAGGTGCCTAAATATAATCCACAAGGTGTAATATTTACTGCACACATGGAACTCTCAGAGGCCTCAGTTAAGCTTCTAGTGACACTGATTTAGCATTTTTCATCAGTAGTCAGGTATCTGTTCATGATAAGTTATCAATGGGAATCCAAGGGTATAACCATTACATATGAAACAAATATTATCTATAAATTGTCAACTTGTTATTTTAGGAATAAAACCAATATCCTCAGCTCCACTATTAGCATGACATTAATTGATTCAATACACTAAGTAGTTTACATGATTTACAACTATTTTTAATAGTAAATATTTAATAGATTGACTCCAAATGAATTCTTCACGATAAAGTTGAAAATGACATCATTTTATATGACTTTTAATGCATAACAATTGCCAACAAGTAATGCAGAATAAAAGATGCAGAATTATCTAGAATGTATTATGCTTACCATGATGGTATGTCTCTGTGATACATTTTATTATAAATTCATATTTATTGACTATATTTTTGCATAGTTAGTTCACTAATCGCTATTTCACTAGTTCTGTTAAATTTGTTATCAGGAAAAATTTAAACTCATGAAATCGTCACATTTTTTACCAAATTTTAAGGCCTTAAATATTTAAGAAATCAGTTAAAACAGTGTCTTAAAACACATTGTAGCCCACATCTTTGTTTTGTATACGTTTTCAAAGCATTACAAGGAAGAAGAGGCCAAAAAGCATGTGTTAAGTTTGTTCATGGGATTGTAAGTAAAAACTGGCATGATAGTACTCTGTGTAGGTTGCAATACTCCAGACTGCAAAATGAGAATATCAGTGTTTCATCCAGATAACTTTTACATTAAAATACAAGGAAACGATTTGCCTTGCTACACAAAAATAGAATGTGTAAACTGTATTATTGACCTCTGTGAGTATTGCATGTTCTACTGACTTTACTTATTACTCCCAAATGGGTAGCAGATATTCATAGATGTCAAATTTATGGCAAGAAGTTTAATTGTTCTTTAACACACTGTGCAAAGCCTAAATTTTCAGACATTTTTCTTATTGCTTGCTTTCACATTTCAAATATTGAAAAATGCAGATACTTATTGTCAGGATTTTTTTGCAAGTAAGTTAAGTGTCAAAAAAAGTATAGAAATTCACATCACTCATGGAGTATACATGCCCTCTCTTTTTCAGTTCCACTAAATTGCTTCTCTTCTTCTAATTAAGTTGACTTCTTTGTCTTCTTCATGTAGTTAATTTAGGGTTATCAGAGAATACGTACCATAACAGGGATGCAGAACCTTCCTGTTAAGCTTCTAAGTCTTCAGTTTTCACTCTTAATGCCAATTCCAACTGTATTTAATTTAATTGAATTGTATTATGATATTGTATTTGACATGAATACAACTATATGTTGAGTATCAAAGTTGGATAATCAGATGAGTGATTTATAGTATTATGGATATTTCTAAGAAATATATTAATTTTAACTGTATAAATATTAAGTATAACATAAGCACAAACATGATTATTTCTTACAAAGGGAGATTTTGAGAAACAACAATATTATCTTTTAAATGTAACATATAAATATAAGTTGGTGATAAAAATCTGGAGAAATCTTTCTCATTGTTTATGTAGAAGGAGTTGCAAGGTGATTGGAATGGAAGACCAAGCAAGAAATCAAGCTATGTTGGTGAACCAGGTAAATGTAAGCAGGAAATAATGCAGTTATTAAAATATTCGTTCACCTGCCATTTATTATGACATTCCAAATTCTCTGCCAATTAATGTATTAATACAGTGATCTCTGCTGAGTCTCGTGCAAAGAACTGAACACAGAAGATAAAGGTAGTCAGGACTGTTACTCAGAGCTTTTACTCTGTAACAGAAGAAGTAGTCTTGACAAGCACACAAACCAAGTTTATAAATACAATAAAGTGTGGATGTATAAAAGTCACACCCTGTATGAAGAGTTAGGACTATGTTATTTGAGTCATGAGAAAAAAAGTTTTCTGATTCTTACTATTTTTTATTTTTGAGATTATACTATAATTACATCATTTCCTTCTCAAACCTGCCATATACTTCTCCTTCCTCTCATTAAAATATTCATATATGTTCCTAAATACTTAAGTACAACATGCTCATTCTGTACAACGTTGCTTGTATGTATGTCTTTAGGGTTGAGCAATTGATATACTCATCACTGAGGAAGACTTTTTGTCCTGCTGTAAACACTTATTAGTTACCCATAGTTCTTTGTGTAGGATTCAGGCCACCTGGAGTCCCTCCTCCCTCATTAGAAGGTCCATTATTTTATCCTTGTTCAGCTTATGTCCAGGCAGTCATGTTGCTAAGAATTTAGAGTTGTAGTTTCTGATATTTCCAGGAGACACGGTAGGAAAGTAAATTCTCTGTTCCAGTAGCTCCTACAATCTTTTTCTTCTATTTCTCAGTGTTCCCTGAGCCTTGAAAAGTTGTATATGCTTTAATCTCATGCTGTTTTTAATGAGGTATTTCTAATGAACACAATCAAAATTGAAATAATTTCCTAACATTTTGTACTTATATTTTTATGTCCTTTTTACTTGTCTAGTAGTTTGTATTTTCCTGTCTTCCAGATTTTAAGGTATAGTTTACAAGTAAAATTTTATGAATGCATGAGAATCTACTTAATAATTTGAGATGCATCAAATTATTGACATACATACATTCATACATTCATGCATACATATATAAATACATAAATACACAAATGATATATAGTAAGCCAGTATACATATCCTTCACCTCAGTTACACCTGTTCATATATGTTTGCATGTATGCATGGTTAGAACATTGAAGATATCCTGTCCTGACAATTTTTAAGTACACAACAAAATACTCTTAACAGCAATCACACTATGTATTTGATCTGTATATGTTTATTAATTTTACAAAAGACAGAACTGTGAGCAATATCACTTCATCTCCATTGTATTCTGTTATGAGTTTGACAGTCCATATGTCACATGTAAGGGGGAATATGTTTAAGAGGCATTTGAGCACTTTTGACTTATTTCATGTAACAATCATCTCCAGAATTGTGTGTGCTCCTTTTTCTTTTCTTTTCCTTCCAAAAATGCTTTCAAACTTTTTATCCTCCTGCTCTCACCTGAATACCCATATTTCAAAATTTACAGCTAAGTGTCCATAACAACATATTTTGTATTAATAAATCCACAAAACTGAGTTGTGCCCTGTTTAAGTCAGTGCTGGTTGCATATATACTCAGCATGTGTTCTTTTAAACTGTTATTCTATAAACAACGCAGAATAACACTTATTTATACAATACACTGTGTACTGTTTATTTTGTAATAAATGTAACAAAATGTGCAGGAGACATGGCTAGGCTATATAAAAGTCCTATGCTATTTTTTATGAAGGGCAATTGGGTCCATGGATGTGATCTTCAAACCAATATGTTAATGATACCAAGGGATAACTCTATATACCAATGACCTTTATCCAATCATATATTTATTTGCATTAGTACATTTTGTTCCTATAACAAAATACCCAACTTGAAACAATACTCAGTGTCTTGGGCTTGAGAACTTGGCTCAGTCAGTCATTACTTGCTGCCTTTCAGTAAAGTGATTTTCTATGATGATTATTATTCATGAACACTCTTTTATAATACTTATTTGTGTGTGTGTGCGCGTGTTTGTGAGAGAAGGAGAGATGGGAGGGAAGGAGTGGAGGGGAGGGAGAGAGAGTGTGTGTTTGTGTGTGTTTGTGTGTGTGTGTGGTTTCTTTTTAATCGGATTCACACTGGCTTGATATTTGAAAATTAGGCTAAGCAGGCTCTTCATAAAGTCCAAAGGATCCACCTTAGTTCATTTCCCTATTACAGGGATTATGAGCATTTGGCACCTCATGTGATTTTTTCTATACATTCTTAACATTACTTTCCTCTCCAAAATCAAATACATGAAAACATACACACACAATGAAAAAGTATATAATTTAAGAATAGATATCCATATATTCATATGTATATATATGTACATATGAGAGATGTTTACTTTCATTATTTGAAAAAATTAAGAATTACTAATAAAATTGATTTTGAAATGACTCTAAACAAAAACAAATTTTCTCTAGCAGTCCATTCTAAGACTTTTGTTTCCTGTTTATTTGTATAAATAACACGTAAATCTCTATATATTATACAATAAAGCAGTGGAGATGCTCTGCAGAGCAACCTTCTCTATGTCTTTATTAACCATAGTCAGAAGCAGAATCTCACTATGTTATATACAAAGAAAGTCAGACATTTCAACAGGACAAGATAAATAACAAAGTAATGAACAAGTGATTAGGAAAAATAAACCAAATAATATATTCCACAAATCAGTGTTGCTGAGAATATTGTGGTAAAACAACTACGTTTTCAATATATATGAGCAAACTTGTGATTTATAGGAATATGTGTTTTTAATTTTTTATTTTAATACATATTTAATCTTTAAAAATTATTTTTGTATATGTCATGTGGGCATGTGCACAAGTTCAGGTGCTGGAAGAAACTAGAGTGTGGTATTGGATCCTCTAGAGCAGGAAGTTCAAGCTTTGTAAGCTATTTGACATGTCTTCTGACAATGGAGCTTGGTTTCTGTGTATGAGTAGTTTGTGTTTTTACCTGATGCTCCCCCTATGAAGTCTTTAATATGAGCACTGTAGCATGTTTTGGAAATGCTAAAGAATGATATCATTTCAAAGGACTTAACACAGAATCAGCAAAACCTTTAAAAAAGAGAAGTATAAATATAAGGTTCACCAAAAGAAATGATCCAAGCAATAGTCCAGGGTATAGAAAGCATGTTAGAGTAGGATATTAAATTTTACTCTGTCTGTAGGCCATAGAATATATACAAAATTCTAAGCATCAAGAGGCATAGGAAAGGTAGATAAGGAGTTCAGATTTTACAGTATATTAAAATCTGTGCTAAGAACTTTGGAAATTACTGTGAAATGTCCTTAGAAGCTTGTAAACAAGTCAGTTGCAAGTGGTATTGCCATTTTAAAAGTTACTGAGGATAAATATAAATTACAATTTTCTTTTCCTGATGCTTAGGATCTCAGGGTGGTGCTCCCGCTCCGGGTATTTTTTCTTCTCCTGTTTACTCAAATATGTAAGTATCCAAATTAATTACATGGGATTGTATATTAATATTTTGATAATTGATTAAATACATGACTACATGAAATCTTGTATTTTTTGTAGTTCTACTTACATTTACTGAAACTTTATTGCTTGAAAACTTTCAAAACTGAACTTGAATGATAGACAAAGTAAAAGCCATTCTCCTTCCTAATATCTACCCCTTTGCTCTCTGTACCCAGGGTCTTTGACCTTTTCTCCAGGGTTTCTTTGTATATTTAAAATGTTTACATATGAATTTTGAAATACTGACTCTTTGAAATATTTACCTTCTAAAGGCTGACAAAAATTGTGCATTATACCCTTTCAATGGCTTTGATCAACTTTCTCCTTAAAAATATTTAATGTTGTCCATAATAATAATACTAGTGTTGGCAACTGAAACTTCTAAAGAACAGATGTCAAATAGCACAGCTTTTCATTCCTCAAATAAATATTGGGGAGCAGATATTTTAGTGGTTTTCTTTCAACTTAAAAAAAAGCTACTGTTTTAGAACCATTGTGATCCTTTTATAAAGGCTTATGTGGGGCAGTGTGTGTGTGTGTGTGTGTGTGTGTGTGTGTGTTTGTGTGTGTGTGTTGCTGTTGTTGTTTTTGTTGTGTGTTGTTATAAGTCAACATCACTGGTTGTCCTCATCTCTTTTTTCCCCTTTTTAAAATTTTTTCTTTAAATTAGAAACAAGCTTGCTTCACATGTCAGTCCCACCTTCCCCTCCATCACCTCCTCCCCCATTTTCCCCAGCCCCTTCAGCTGCCCACCCAATCCACACTCCTTTCCCCAGGGAGGGTAAGGCCCTCCAAGGGGAATCTTAAGAGTCTGTCATTTTTTTCAGGCAGGACCAAGGCCCTCCCACAAGAGTCCAGGCTTAGTGTGCATACCTTCACTGTGGGAAGTCCATTTGTATGCCAAGGATAAATGCTGATCTACTACCAAAGACCCCATAGATTGCCTAGGCCTCCTCACTGACACCCACATTCGGGAGATCTGGATCAGTCCCAAGCTGGCCTCTCAGTCACTAGTCTGGAGTCCAAGAGCTCCCCCTTGTTCAGGTCAGCTATTTCTGTGGGTTTCAGCAGCCCAGTCTTGACATCTATACTCATCACTCCTCCCTCTCTGTCACTGAGTTCAGTTCAGTGTTTAGCTGTGGGTGTCTGCTGCTGCTTCCATCAGTCACTGGATGAAGGTTCTAGGATGGCATATAATGTAGTTGTCAAACTAATTATCAGGGAGGGGCACTTAAGGCAGTCTCTCCACTATTGCTTCATTTGCCAATTGGTGTCATCATTGAGATCTCTAGAAATCTCACTAGTGTCAGATCTTTCCTCAAACGTGTAATGGCTCCCCCTCTATTATGGTATCTCTTGTCCTGCTCTCCTCTATTCTTTGACCCCCCCCCAACCCTGACTCAACCTTCCTGCTCCCCCATGTCCTCCTCTCTCTCCTCTTCCCTCTTCTTTTCCCTCTCTTTTTCCCGGCTCCCTCTCCCCTTCCCCCCATGCTCCCAATCTGCTCAGGAGATCTTGCCTCATTCCTCTTCTTTGGGATACCACGCATATCTCTCTTAGGGTCCTTCCTGTTTCCCATACTCTCTGGCAGTGGGACTGTAGACTGGCACCTCCTGATCCATGTGTAAAACCCATATATGAGTGAGTACATATCATGTTTGGTTTTGTGACTGGGTTACCTCACTCAGGATGGTTTCTTCTAGTGCCTTCCATTTGACTTCAAATTTCAAGATTGCATTGCTTTTTTTTCTACTGAGTAGTACTTCACTGTGTAAATATACCACATTTTCTCTATCTGCTCTTCAATTGAAGGGCATCTAGGTTGCTTCCAGGTTCTGGCTATTACAAACAATGCTGCTACGAACATAGTGAAACAGATGCCCTTGTAGTATGAATGTGTATCTTTTGGGTATAAGGCTAAGAGTGGAATTGCTGGGTCTTGTGGTAGACTAATTCCCATTTTCCTTAAGAATCTCCACACTGATTTCCAAAGTGGCTGTATGAGTTGGCACTCCCACCAGCATTTGAGGAGTGCTCCCATTTTTCCACATCATCTCCAGCATAAACTGTCACTGGTATTTTTGATTTTAGCTATTCTTACAAGAGTAAGATGGTATCTCAGAGTTATTTTGAGTTGCATTTCCATGATGGCTAGGGATGTTGAGCACTTTCTTAAGCATCTCTCAGCCATTTTAGACTCCTCTAGTGAGAATTCTCTATTTAATTGTATCCTTTGATGTTTTGGAGTCTTGCTTCTTAAGTTCTTTATAAATTTTGGAGATCAGCCCTATGTCAGATGTTAGTGAAGATCTTTTCCCATTCTGTTGGCTGGCTTTTTGTCTTATTGACTGTGTCCTTTGCCTTACAGAAGCTTCTCAGTTTCAGGAGGTCCCATTTATTAATTGTCCAGTTCAGTGTCTGTGTTACTGTTGTTATGTTCAGGAAGTGGCCTCCTGTACCAATTTTTTTCAAGCATACCTCCAACTCTTCTAACAAGTTCAGTGTGGCTGGATTTATGTTGATGTCTTTGATCCATTTGGACTTAAGTTTTGTGCATAGTGATAGACATGGATCTATTTGCAGTTTTCTACATGCAAAAATCCAGTTATGCCAGCACCATTTGTTGAAGATGCTTTCTTTTTTCCATTGTTTAATTTTAGCTTCTTTGTCAGCAATCAGGTGTTTGTAGGTTTGTGGGTTAATACTGCAGTGTTTCATTGGATTCCATTGGTCTTCCTGTCTATTTTTGTGCCAATACCAAGCTGTTTTCAGGACTATAGCTCTATAATAGAGCTTGATGTCAGGGATGGTGATGCCTCCAGATGTTGCTTTGTTGAACAGGGTTGTTTTGGCTATCCTGGGTATTTTGCTTTTCCATATAAGTTGTGAATTGTTCTTTTAAGGTCTGTGAAGAATTTTGCTGGGATTTTAATGGGGATTGCATTGAATCTGTAGATTGCTTTTCGTAGTGTAGTGGTTATCACAATCGCCTCACACTCATTTTCTCTTTAACATTTTATTTTTCTGAGTCAGAGTCTCTCCCTGAACCTAACCCAGATTTTATGTCTGTGCTTGGGATCTAAATCAAGTTCTCATGCACAGCAAGCCGTTTACACACAGACTGTCTTCCCAGCAACCCTGTGCTAAAATCTTATAAAGAAAACAGCAAATAAAATCAAATGCAAACTAAACTTCAGAACCATAGATTCCTACAAAAATGGCCATATAAATGAAAAGATCTCTGATTACAAAAGATTTGATATTCAGACTAAGCTTTGTAGATGAAAACTTTTATCTTGAGGTTGATGGGTGTCAATATGTAGAACTAATGATGGTTCATAAAATACATGGCACTTTTTATAGCCAGAAGTAATGAATCTCATTCAAACAAGTAAAAGAAGGAGGAAAGATGCTGCCATGTACAGATAATGACTACTTGTATTTGTGGGATAAATAAATGCTAAAAGAAGAAAACTATAACACTCTTTACTGTTTGCCCAGACTCTGCTTCATCACACATACTAATTAACTGTGTATCATGAAAGACTTTACCATGGAGGCCTCACATTTTTTCCAATGTAAATCACTTCTCACCACCCTCAAATACTTACTTGTCCTTTTAAAAGTGTAAATGCAAAAGATTGCTGATGTAGAAATGAGAATCCATGACGGAGAATTAAGATAAACTATGTGAGCAGTGAAAGTAGAGGTGTAATAGCTAAGCATTAGATGATTAAGTTTGAAATTCTCTGCCATATAGACTATGTCTAGAACCTATATTGTTTATTAGGTAAAAGGCTAATAGTTTGGGACAATATTATTATGATCAAATTGACATATAATTAATTACTTTGTCAGCAATACATGGATAAAACTAAAGTCAAGAAACCATTCAATAATGCTCTTCATTTGAAATTCGATATAGGTAGGCACATCTTTATAACCTATTTATCAAGCATCTATTAAGTGCACATTGTATTTAAGGAACTGTGCCAGATGTTATGCAAATATTAAGATTTACAGAATTAATACACTGTGATCATGATGCACTAGTTTAAGGAGGCAATATAGGCCAATTTAAAACTCCCTATATTATATTCACATCTTTCTGAAATAAATATGTTCGAAATGGTGCAAGCCTTCTTTTTTAGGAATTGTAGAATTATGTTTCTGACATAATTTTTTTTCTGACATAATGTTTTTGCCAGTGTTCACCTTTTTAGGAAAAGAATGGATTTTTGATGTCTTTGCTCTTCCATTATTTTTTATTCTATGGCTCGCCTTAGAAAACTATTGCTTCTGTGGAAGGTGCTGGGAATTTCTTGAGGTGCCTCATTCATGCTATGCAAGCACTGTACCACTCATTGAGCTACACTGGCATCTTAACATAGTTACTACTTAAAACTGCCTTTTCAGCTATTTCTTTAGGTCTTCCATAGGTCTTTGTTCCATGTTTGGACACAGAGAGAGCTACAGGATTCTATTCTATGCCTTAAGACAGAAAAAAATGAACTAAGTTTAGACCATTGAAAACCATAAATAGTTAAAAGAAGGAAAATGTGGAACTTGTAGTTGATTTAAGAAACTAGATCTGAGAAAAGTTCTAGTCTATGGACTATTGTTACCCCATTCCCTGTCTCTCCCGTTTCTTTCCTCTCCACTGAAATCCCCTTCTCACCTCTTTCTTCTTTCCCTTTTTATTCCTCTGTCATCTCCTACTATAATCACAGCCTTGCTGGTAGTTCATAGACTCAATTGTCCTACATCAGCCTCCTGCCTAGTTGAAAGCATAGCCTATATGCCAGGCTCCCAAATCCATTTTAAAGCTGCAACAATTAAAGTATTTTGGTGCAATATGTTGTATTGTGGTTTTCACACAAGTGAGTTGCAATATTGAGAAAGTTTATTTAATTGTTTTAGATTTTGAGAAAAAAATAATTTTTGAATGTATAGGCTTAAGAAAAT